AAAAAAAAAAAAAAAAAAAAGGATAAAGATGGAAGAAAATTAAGATTGCAAGGACTTTCTACCCACTGGGTTGGGTAAAATGAGGGCAGATGAGATCAAAAGGGCTCTTAGGCCTGGAAAAGGTAAGTGGTGTAGACTCCACATTGTCGCTGGAGGGAAGGAGAGCCTCCATTAACTGGGAGCTGAAGGGGTCTGCAGGGCCGTACCCGCAGCGCATCCTGATACACGTAGCTGTACAGCCAGTCGTGGACCACCACGTTCCAAGTGCGGTAGTAGTTGGAGAAGGATGTTGAGTTCCACCAGTCCTGGAGAAGGTGGGGTCAGAGTGGGGAAAAGGAAGTAAGCCGGCATCTGGGTCCCGGCTCCTCCCCTCTGCTCCCTCTGCCTGCAACCCACCCCAGTGCTCCGGAAGGGCTGGCTCCTGGCAGAATAGGGACAGCAGACACCCTCTCAGCTCCCTCCTCGGGACGTGGAGGCCCCGTCCTCCCTCCTACTCCCTCTCTCAGGAGAAGAAGATTCTGTAGCACCATGCACACAAAAGCAGTTAGCTCTGGCTGGTCAGGAGGTGGAGGGGTGGCATTATAACCACATCTAGAGGACTGCTTATTATGGGAGGTGAACAGTGTGGCTGAAGTGACACCGTTCCTGACCACCGTCTTCCCCAGATCCCTCCCCAGCCCTCCCTGCCTCCAGCTTCCAGCTGGCCTAGGTCCAGGCCCCACCCGGTAGAACATCCTGTCTCCAAATCGTAGCATCTCGGCAAAGGCGTTGAGCCAGCAATGGAGGAAAGCAAAGAAGATGAGCAGCAGCATGAAGATGCCTGGTGGATGGGGATAAGGGGCTGCAGGTCAGAATGGCTCACCTGGACCCGCAGGCAGCCCTGATCCGGGCTCTGAGGAGCCCCTGCCCAGAAACCAGGGCCCCAACATTCATTTATTGGTAATTCATGAATTTATGCATTCTTCTTTTTTTTTTTTTTTTTTTTTTTTTTTTTTTTGAGACTAGTTTTTACTGTTGCTCAGGCTGGAATGCAATGGTACAGTCATGACTCACTGCAGCCTCATACTCCTGGACTCAAGCGATCCTCCCACCTCAGCCTCCCAAGTAGCTGCAACTACAGACGTGAGCCGCCACTCCCAGCTAATTTTTATTTTTAAATATTTTTGTAGAGATGAGATCTCACTATATTGTCCAGTCTAGTCTCGAACTCCTGGCCTCAAGCGGTCCTCCTTCTTCGGGCTCCCAAAGTGTTGGGATTACATGTGTGAGCCACTGTGCCTGTCTTCATACATTCATTTATTCATCCATTTGTTCATGTACATTTACTTGGCATCTACTTCGTGCCAGAGGTTGGGGATAAATATAAATCTCAAAGTCCCTGGCCATTGGGAGGTCACAGAGTGATTGAAGTGAGACACACACACAGAGACAGAGACAGAAAGACATGCCCAACCACATTTCCAGGGCAAATGTAATGGGAGCTAAGTATGGTGGCACTGATGTGTCTGGGAGTGCAGAGAAATGGATAGTTTCTCAATTAGCCATCATGGTAATTGATGGCTATAAAAGGAAGGCTTCCCAGAGGAGGGGGTATCTCAGCCACGGGCCTCCAAGAAGAAACTAGATTCCATGGCTGAAAATGGGGAAAGGGCATTCAAGCTGAGGGGCCAGTATGAGCAAAGGCCTGGAGGCACGTAAATACATGCCTTTCAGGGGGCGTGGCCTCGGATGCCACACCAAGGGTTCAAATCTGATCTGAAAGTGCCAGCATTGGCTTATCATCAGAGTTTTTGAAGGTGGATAGGGAATGATTCATTGTAGTAGGAAAGTTCGCCTGGACAGCAGTGTCAGGGATAGATGGGAGAGGAAAGATCTGGGTGCCAGGGATATGGGTTAGGAGGCTGGTGCAGAGGGGGAGCAGATGGTCTGAACTGAGACCATGGCAATGCACCCTGATAGGAGGGGACAGACATGAGGGGAGGCTCAGAAGGAGAACGTGTTGAAATGGAGGAAGGTAACTACAAGTCCTTCCCTGATAAGCGTTCCCCAGGGCACAGCCTGCTCCAGCCCCGCCTTAGTTGGCTCACCTGGCAACGTGGCATGCAGGATAGAGAGCACCAGGGCACGGGTGCTGAAGGGCTCTCGGCTCATGTTGGCAAAGACAGGAACACAGAGGCGGCCCAGGATGAAGCAGGCATAGAGCACACAGCCTAGGGTCTGGAGGGGGCGTGGGGACATGTAACTAGAGAGGGATGCTGACAGCTGCCGGTAGCATTGGACCTCTGGTGCAGCGTTGGCCTTCTCTTCCCTTGACACCACACTTCTATTGCCTCTCCAGGCCACCCAGAAATGTTCCCTCTCCACCACCATGAGTCACGGGTCCACACTTCTACCCCATCTCCTCACCTGGGCAAAGTTCTTGGCCACATAATTCCACCTGACATAGGGCGTCCTGCAGTGGCAATGGGGACAATAGGTTTCTCATTCTTTCATGTTGTCCTCTGCTCAGCCTGGGCACAGACTGGGGCCCTCTCTCCGCAGTTCCCTGAATTTTGCTCAGGCCTGAGAGGATTATCTAGGGTGGTGGGATCTAGGATCCTTTAAACTTTCCATAACAGAGATGACAAGTGGATTTGAAACATAAACATCAACAAAGGTGTGTAGGATGGGTAGAATTTTCAGTACTCAATTCAGGACAGCCCTGGGTAAACCAGGAAAGTGGGTCACCCTAGCGTCATCACTGGCTGGGCAAGGAGACAGGGTAGTCTGCCAGCCACGTATTTCCCATCTTTATTACGAGATGCTTTCCGAGAAAGTGGCCAGTGCCTGAGGCAATACTGAGGACCTCAGGGAGGGGAGAGTAGAAGGGTAGGGTTCCTGATGGGTCTGGGCATTTGGGGAAGGGATGCAGGGTCTTACCTGGGGTAAGTCTCCCTGTAGATGAGAGTTGGGCAGAAGAGGAAGTAGAGGTAGCTGGAGAAACTGGGGGCCTGGATCCCCTCACCTGGGGAGGGATGAGAGGGGTGGATTAGTAAGGGGAAGGGCAGAGGGCAGAGGTGAGGGGGCTGCTGGGGAAGGCTGGTGGGATTGATGAGCGGAGAAATGGATAGGGCAGGGGTGGGGGACAGGCAGGGAGCTGGACGTAGGACCCGATGTGGGCTGGGGGAGCTAAGCGGGGCAGGAGCAGAACTGGCTCTTTAACACCGTCTCTTCTGCTTTCATTTCAGGCGCCCTATTTTCCAGCGCAGGGCCTGCTGTGGCCAGAACTGCATTTGGTACGCACGTGTTCCACAACCCATTCTCCTTCCCCTGCTGTCTGGATCTCCTAATACAGGCACATCTTGTTTCACTGCACTTCCCAGGTATTGCCTTTTTCACAAATTGGAAGTTCGTGGTGACCCTGCCTGGGACAAGTCTATCACCGCCACTTTTTCCAATGGCAACAGCTCGCTTCATGTCTCTGTGTCACATTTTGGCAATTCCTGAAGTATTTCAAACTTTCTTCTGCTTCTTATATGTGTTATGGTGATCTATGATCAGTGATTTTTTTTTTTTTTTTTTTTTTTTTTTTTGGGCGCT